GACAAGGGTCACCATTTTTATACATGATCTCGAAATGTCTTGTTTAATGAGACTCATGAATGTTCTTTTTTCCTCCCTCCTCAGATGCTGAATTTCCGGGAGTACGTATTACGCCACTATAACCTCTTCTGGGATAAAACATAGCCTGTAGGCCTCGCCTCTCCGCCATTTTGTCTCTCTGGGCTCAGAGAACGGATTCACACACTCTTCTCATCGTCGTCGCCATCTGTAGAGAGTTGCTGCCTCAGTCAGCATTGTCAACACCTCCTCCCCCGCCGCCCCCCCCATTTACCCCCACACCAGCAGCTCCTACTGCTTCTGACTGGTGGTTCGCTTTTTGTACAGATCAGCAACACAGAAGACTCTCACCGAGCACCTGGGGTTCGGGTGTTGTCGCACCCACACCCCCCCCCCCTCTTCCCTGTCTCCCACAAATCGTCGTCAACAACAACAACAACATGGCGATGTCATCCAAGCAGTTCCCGAACCTCAATCCTTAGTCGCGCTACCGCTGTCCAGGGTGAGTATTGTATATACTATTAATTATATTATGTGTGTTGGCAGCAGTTACAGCATCCTTTGTGTGTGGATGGTTGGCATGTACTGTGTACTCTGATGGTGTGGTTTTCTCCTTCTTTCTTATCAAACTTTTATCATCCTTATCTCTCCTTGTATTCCTCCTTTTTTGTTTTTTTTTGTTTCTCGTCTAATGTTCGGCACTAATGTATCCTAATTGTGTTTCAAGTGCCGCAAAAGTGCGTGCTAAAATATTATGTGTATATGCAGTCTAAATTGTCCAAGACGCCACAATTTTCTAGGAGCAAAATGTTGGACAGTGCCATAATCAATAACCCCCCCCCCCAAAAAAAACCCACGCGGGGGGGGGGGGGGGGTGTAAAGGAAGTAATCGTTTCCACAGGCTATTGTCTTGAACAAATGGCCGTTAGAGTAGGTTTGACTGTTTTATGCGTTTGGAACGTTTTTATTTTGTTTTTTTGTTTTTGCTTGTTCGTTTGTTCGTTTTTTGGGGGTTTTTTTCCATTTGTGTCTGCATGTGTGTACAGAAGAACGGGCGCCACTGCCGGGTCCTATTTCTATGTTTATTCTGTTATTGCTGTCTTTCTTCTTCCTGCACTAAATGACCGACACGGTGTCGATTTGCTTATCTCTACTCAAACAGAAGTACGCTGGAATCTAACAACACTTTCAGCTCCCATAATTACGATGTAATGTAAGAATTCGGGTATTTGAGAATTTGGATGTCCGAACCGAACCTGCATGTACTTTAATTTCTAAAAGGACAGCTTGAAGACTGACCGAAACAGAAAAGGAGCAATCGAAAATCGTACAAAAACTTTCTGAACAGTTTTCTTCTCAGAAGAAGGAGTTTGAACTAGGTTCACCTTTACATGAGTCCAGTTGTCACATCAGCTGACAACTCTTTAAGAAGGAGAGAATAGAGCATATTATAATATGTATACTCTTGTCATTTGGAGATTGTATTAGTCTAAGACTTATATATTATTTTTAAATACCTTCTTTGTCGCTCGCCTTTCCCAGAGTCGCTTACTTTTAAAAACATGTCTCGGTTAAGTTCGACAGCATATCAAAAGCTTGTCCTACGTGCGAAGTTTTGTGCCTTTTTTGTCGTAAAAAAGAGGTATGGAAAAGTAATATGGACGTGTTGAATGGGGTGTATAAGACCCCCCTCGAAGAGATCTTTCTATTGTTTGAGGGGAACAAAGGTGTTCAGCTATACGTTCTAAGAAGGATTCAAGGATATAATCTAGCTTGGCGTTCTAAGAAGGATGTCAGCAGGGAGAACAGGACATCGATTTTTACCTGTTGCCTGGATAAAGTGGTGACATTGAATTCTTAGTTCGATAAAAGCTAACGGAGAAAAATAATTTTTAGGGGAACTTCTGCGTTAGGCTTTGTTTTAGTTGTTGGTTTTTTTTTTCTGTTTTTTTTTTCTCTTTACTTAAAAGGCGTAGTAGCCCGATAAAAAGCTAAGTTACTTATCGTGGTTGTGAAAACAATCTTTAAAATGTATTATGTTCCGGTTTGTATGTCTCATTTTGCGCAGTATTGGTGCCGTGCAGTGTACGGTTTGCTGTTGTTATTGTTGTTTTTCTTCTTCTTAATCAGTTTGAAGCCAATGCGATGCTATCAGCAGACCATGGTCCCCTTTTCTCGTGGGAGCGCCACATCTAAAAAAAATTTAGTCGTTTAACATTTGTAAATATAATCTTGAATTAACAGGTGATAAAAAGTAGCGTTCACAGAGGGAATGGTTTAGAGTATGCTAGACTTTCTATCGGAAACTTCCTGTGGATGTATATTTATAACAGAATAAGAACGCTATATTATTATAGGAGAATAAAAACACTCGATCAACAGAACATTAGTGTTTCCGAGCCGAGGACTTTGTGACGTCATATTTATGCACCCTGCATTTGCACTGAGGTGCTGTCTGCCTCCTGCATAAACAATTTTATTGCAGTGATTGTTTTTCATTCCTGGTGTACTTACGCAGCAGTGGCTGTGCAGAAATCGTGAGTTCGATTCCCGAGTAGACTAGAGTTGTGTTGCCGGTTCTCTCCGTCTGTCTGCTGGGACACCGTGTCCCGTCAGCTCGACTTACTCCGAACAGGCAGTGTAGAAGCAGCCTGCTTCCTTAATGGTTTTAATTATGTCGGCGGTTGGAGGGTGCCACCGGTACGTCCTCCTTCTTTTCTTTCTTTGTGTTGTTTCTGTCTGTCCGTCTTGCCTTTTTCCTGCACTTAATTAATGACCGTTGTCGTGACGATGTGCTTCTCTTTACTCAAATAAATTATGTCGAACGGGGGCGTAAAATCGTGAACGGGAGGTCATGCGTCACTTTCCGCACTTTCCGGCGTGGCGTCCCTCTGTTTTTATTATATCCATGACCTCTCGGTGTCCATCCATGAGTAGGGGTGGGTGGTTTGCGGGTGCTCTGGTAATGGTTTCCTTTTTCTTTTCTATCAAATATGTATCGTCCTCATCTCTCCTCCTTCTTTTTTGTGTTTGTTACTCTCTTGTAGTGGGTTGTTGGCGGGTGCTCTGGTGTGGTTAGCTCCTTCTTTTCTATTAAACAACTATCGTGTTTAGTTCTCCTCCTCTTTATTTAAATGTTTGCTCCTTTCTTGAAACACCTGTAATCATCGGCACTTATATGACCTTATTGTGTTACAAGTGCCGTAAAACTTACTAAAACTAAACTAAACTCTCTTGTAACATCTCTAATCTTCGGCTCTTATGTGACCTTATTGTGTTGCAAGTGTCGTAAAATACTTACTAAATCAAAACAGAA